TAACATAACAATAATAAAAAAATTTTTTAAATAAAAGAATAGCAATATTTGTAATTAGGATAAGTGAAATAAGGGGGAAAGCCTTGGACCCTTGGGAGAATACTGTGGTTTAAATTCAAACCTATAATTATTATATTTTTCTATTCTGTATTATTTAGAAAACAGTGGTTAAACAGATAAAAATAGAAAAGATTGCTTAAAAATTAAAGCCATTGATTTAGATCTCTATTTGAAAGGTCAGTGTGTGGGAGATGAGAAAGGCATTGCAGTGATCAGTGTTCAAGAAAGGACATTTTAGCAGAAGAACCTATAAAGAGCACATCAGCTATTTATATCACCCACATCAAGTTGCTGGTCATTTCATTTATCAAAGAAAATAAGAAAGCTATTTTCTTTGGACATTCTTTGGGTGTAGTGACAATACAGTTTTGGAATCAGCTGTTAGGAACTGTAATTAAAGCTGGTTTATCATGTTTACTAATTATTCTGCATAGAATTCTGCATTATTCTGCATTAGTCTCCCTGAAGCTTTATATAATTCTGTCTTTGTTACAAGCTTCTGTTTCTCCCTAGGGCAGTCTGAATCCAGACAGGTAAAGAATTGGAGTGCCTGGAAGCCAGTATCTTGTAATATGTGTACAGCCAGTTGAACTTGAAAACAATATACAAATTTTAAACTTCCTGTACATTCGATAGAGTCAGCTATTTAGAGGTTTCAGCCCTACCACTTGGGTAAGGAGATCCCTTGGGTACAAGGAAGAAGTGAGGGAAAACAAAAATGGAAAACTGAAATTTCCTTCAGGAACCTATTTAACACTGGGGAGGGGAGGAGGTTTTTATTCAGTAATTCCTAATAACTACCTGATAGTACTGTCTGGTTGGCCAAACGTCTGTCAACATCCGTGATCCTTTCGTTCACTGCTAGAGAGAAGCAGAGGGAGTTCGTGTTCAGAGAAGCAGCAAAACTCATGTCCCATTTTCTTCCCTCTGCCAGTTGGAAGTGCTGTGGGCCAATCTCCTGTTCCAGCCCTTTAGTGTCGGTGGTGTGTGCCCTCTCTGCTCCACAAGAACTCTGTGCCATGGGAGTGGAGAAGCATCCTGTCTCCTCATGAACCCATTTCCTTCCCAGGAAG